AGGTGATCTTAGTTACTGGGGATTATCCTTCCCTAACATTGCTCCAGCCACACCCACATGACTCTCAAGGAATGCCGAATCCAGGAAATATAAAGTTATGGCTCGCCAATGCTAATTTTTCCGATGACGAAAATTTCAGCTAAGAATGACGGATTAGGGACGTGAACGTTGTCGATTTCGTCTGTGGGATCTTCAAATGGACTTCGTTATAACCGAGGTTTCGTTATAACCGAGGTCGTTACAACCGAGTTCGACTGTATATAGTGGGAGCCAATAATATTGCATCATTCTGGACTTGGAAACTTTGTATTACTTTGGTAACTTAGTGCTCATAAATTTTTCATCGTACAGGTATATTGCACTTATGATAAAATGTACATTCTTTGGATAATTAATTCATATTTATTAATTATTATTATTCAAGTATTAACTTATTTACACAAAAAAATTTGTTCAGTACTTCCGATTTAAAAAAATTTGCTTTGATATTAATATCAAAATCAGTGCTAAAATGATTTTCCCTGATATTATTTATTATAGAATCATCACAGATACACAATTTTCACGACCCCAAATTATGTTTGGATATGACCCAGTCTACTGGTAAATAACGGCTGAAGTAAAAACCGATCATCATTTCATTACATCATGCAAAACTGTATGGATGAGCTGAGCCGAAGGAATTTGAAATACCAGGAGATACAAACATTTTGGCCCACACTGTAGGAGAGAGAGAGAGAGAGAGAAAGAATGCATGGAATCTTACAAGGAGGAAGTCTGTCGTCTGCTGGGGAAGGCTCTTTCTCTCCTGCTTCGTCTTCCTCGTTGTTCGCAGACAGAGAACGTCTCTCTCCCTAATCACACATGACATTCATTTTACTTATCATGCTTTATAGATGGGCTTGGATTGGTAAGGGGCAGACCGTGCCGTGGTGCATTCATCCTCAAACAAGAGTGAGGCGAAAACCTTTGACTAATGGCGAAAACATAGCGGCACGGGTGCAATGCCACCTTTCATAGGAACTTTAAATGCACGCTAACATTCATTAAAAAGACAAGCTGGGTGATGCCCAGTCCAATCGCAAGCCTCTTGTGAGAGCATCGTCACAGATAATGCAGGCGATATCCGTATCTCTGCTTTGGATACAAGAAGTCAATGAGGGAAAACAGATGCGGCGAGGAGAGACAGCCTCCTTCATCACCCTCATCATATTTCACCTTTAACCCCCTCACACCGGTTATGTTCGGCCCTTGGCAGTGATAGAAGGCTCCCTTGAACAGCTGCATTGGATATACAATAATTCCCGGAATCATTCCACTTTCTCATCATTCATTTTCCCCCTTTCCCCCCCCCCCCCCCCCCCCAAGTGGCTTTATTTTCTGAGCTGGTCGACTCCGTGACTGCTATAGACGCGCATAACACCAAGGGGGTTAATTACAAGAATGGACAGTTCCCAAAGCCCATACAGACGTCAAGTTTAGTACCCATGAGTTATAGAAACACTTTTGAAGCAGAACAGAGGCTATTTTCATAGAAACGTCAACGTTTGACACATTTGCACTGACAGAAACAGTTACACAGCAGGCCTAAATGTTTTAAAAGCTCCCATTAAAGTAGGAACTTCAAAAAGAACCCACGTCTAAGAACAAAAAAAAGCAAGAGGGTTCAGATCATTTTCTCGTAGAGCTCTACGTCCTCGTAATATTCCTGTGGCAATGCTTCGGGGTCTTGGAAGGAATCTACAGTATGCGAATGCACCCCGTAAAATTAGATTCGCTATGTCATCCTAGGTTATTCTAATCACCCCATTCCACTATGAAAAGGGCTGGAAGCGATTCTGCCTTTCTCTATAGCTTTATCTAATAGGACTGCTGGGTTAGGTGGATTTGAAGAGAAAGCAGGCAGTGCGGCAGGCGATAAAGGAGCATGCTTGCATCGGCCTTAGAATACCTCGAGAAACGAGGGACTGAGTCCACTGGTTTCAGTAACTGCTACTTTCGTATTTTCTTCTTCAACTTCATCTTCTGCTTCAGCTTCATCCTTCTCTTCCGCTTCTCCATCCTCGATCTTCGTCATCCCTTCTCCTCTTCTCGCTTCTCTGTTCTCTTTCTGTTCCACAAGTTTTCTTCTTGTATTCGGAATCGCATTGGTTTTACATTAAAATTACAACCCCCCCTGTGTACTATTGACACTTCTGCTTTCCTTCTCTTTCGAAGAGGGAAGAGGATTCGGACTGACCTCGGAGGAGAAGCCTTCGACCAAGATGGCGACAAGGAGATTGAAGAGAACGTAGTTGCCAAAGGTCATCAAGGCCACGAAATAAAGGGCTGCCCAGTGACTCGTCTTCTCCATCGCGTTGAATAAAACAATGTTCCAATCCTCCTGCGTCAAGATCTGCGGAGAAAAAAATTCATCGACCAAACCACCGGTAATAGCTGCCATTCGGATCATGTCGGATCTACTATATAGCCGTTGTGGGCATATAGCATTTTAACCCAGGAATTACCAGAACCCGGATGGTAATATCAAATGTTTAACTCTCTCTGTTTCAACTCTTCATTCCCCTCAAAATCTCTTTAAAATACTTTGCCAGATTATAATCACATGTCATCATGGAAATACACGGAATATCGGAATTTACAATGGCTGAATTCTTGTGAAAGTCAATTGGACCTAGAACAGTAGTCACGGAGTTAAAAGATGAGAACTATGTGGATAACTGGGGAAATTTTCCTTAAATTCAGCCAAATGCCGATAGTTTTTGTTAGGATGCAAAAAAAAAAGAAGCATGCTGGACGCAGAGCAGGAAAATGGGCTCCCTTCAAGTGGCGTACATTGACGAGAAAGGTAAGATCTCACCATGAAGACGGTGACCGTGGCCCAGAGGAAAGTGTTGAAGTTTTTGCGGTCACAAACACATGGGGAATTGGGGGCGTGGATCTCGGAACACTTGCACTCCTCCTCTGTCTCCGCATGCACGCAGAACTTACCCCCAAACAAGTACATGCCCAATACGCTGCAAACACCATATACACATACTCACATGCAGTCTCCTCTTTTCCCTTTTTTTTTCTCTACAACAGGGCGGTACTCTCGTACTTCCGCCATGCTATGTCCTCTACTCATATCTTCTATGGACCCTCCGTCCATTCCTCTCACAAATTAACGCGCTGAAAACCGGGGTGACTATACATTTGGACGATTTTAAGCGTAGCATGCTGGCCAGAGAAGGGTGCGATGCAGACTACAGAAGGAATTTTCTACACATGAAAACCATGCAAGACAGACACCAGTAATCGATAAACGAAGATTCGGTCCTCCATATGAGTTTATGCGACATCGCCGATCCACACATCCACAAGCGACGACGACGATGACGACTTTCATTCACCCATTCATGATTTTCTTTCCTTCTATAAGATTGATCTTTACCTGGAACACGGTAACGATAGCCCAGAGGAGAGAGTCAAAATTTTTGCGGTCGCATTTCCTCGTCCCGTCCTCATGGTGGACGCAGAACTTGCATCCGAATAAGTTCATGCCCAGAATACTACAGGTGGAAAGAAGAGAAGAGAAATGAAGAAAGGAAGGAAGCGACAGGCAGAAAGTGATTCAGGGCAGAGATTGTCGGCTAAAACAAATTTAAAATGTATTTACCCTACGGAGTAATTCAATAATAATCTGTATGTACGTGGGAGGTGATGAAAGAGGCACTATGGTAGGTGGTGCGAGAGGCGAAGTGTGATGAAATAGAAGTATGAAGAGATTGAGGAAGGGCGAAGATTGTCTTGCCCCCTCTCACTCAATGAATACTAAACAAACCAAGATATAAATCGACCGATTCCTCTATCGCCTTGTCTCTTGAAGCATTCCACTTCATGGAGCTGCCCAGTCTTACCATCTAATCCGAGGCCCGGTGAGGAGGAATCGGATCAAGCAGTTTTTCTCTTTTAAGGAGAAACGGGCAACATTATTAGTAAAGGGCTAAAGTAGGATTTTGTGCGATTAGACTGCCAGAAGATTGGATACGTGTTAGTCTTTGTGTGCTATTGATCGCCATCAGAATGTGGTCCTTTTTTTTTTACACAAAATGAAAACTAGTACAGGCATTATGAAGTGGAAGGAGTCACTGAAGACCAGATTGTGCAAGTGATTGGACTGGAATGAATAGTCACCCCGATTCACAGAGCAACGTGACGTTTGATTTTGGGAGACTATCTTGGGACTGTTGTTTTCCCGAATTGTAATACCTTTCAGATGTGAACGGGTAAGCAATGCGCCGTGAAGAACTTCATGAAAAGCGGAGGGCATGTCGAAATGGATCTAGTAACCTAGTCAAAATTAATTCAAGACAGAGCCTCAAGAAACGCTTCAGAAGACTGCAAAATGGAGTCGTATTAGAAATTCATCCCTTTTAATGGCATGATTTTTATACATATAAGGCGGTCCTCTTATGCATAAAATATTACGTCACTATATTTTTCGCGTCTTAGGAGGTTTTCAGAAAAGCTGTCGGAACCACAAGAAAAGGGGACATAATTACAATTTGCTATGTTGCACTTCATAGAATTAGTTGCTTATGCTTGTAAAAAATTATGAAGACTTCCAAGTTGTATTGCTATCGAGAAAGGACAAATTAAGGCCATTTCTCATCCCGAGGAGAGTTTTTACGAAAAATTGGCACGTGCTGCTGTCGGTGGTCAATAATGGCCGTTTTTTTTATGAGATGTTCTACATGGTGAGTATTAAATGAAAACTAGAACTTTTTTTACGCTCAAACCGTCAAATATAAAAGCGTCAATTCAATGTAATAAAGATTATAATATTGCGCTAACCAGCCGATTTTCAATCTTTTCAACAAAGTTGAATGATAAAGAGGTGAGGAAGAGACGAACCTGAAGATAAAGATGAAAAGGATGAGAAGTGCGAAGAAGACAGCAACGTTATCCATGGTCCTGAGCATGACGAAGAGCTGCCGCCGGAGGTTCGGTAGGAAGCGAACCAATTTGAGGATCCTTAAGAGCCGGAACGTTCTTAGTACTGACAACCCGGATCCTCCCCCACTCCCATCCTGCCTCACCCCATCACCGCTCTGCCACAACTCCACCAAGCTGGCAATCAAGAATCCATTGTCATGGTGAAGGAGTAGGATTCATCAGTGAGCTTTCTCCCAGTGTAAATAGCGAGGGGAAATAACTAATTGACATCTCGCGGGATAGTACAGAAGAGTGAAATCTGAGACAACATCTACTGAATCCAGAGTTGTAATTGGTTTCTCAGAGTGCTTCGTCGGCTGATGAGTTAAAGAACCGTTGGTTTGAAATTGTCCCTTACCAGCGGTGATGGTTTTTGGGATGTGATATATGGGAAGGTCCCTGATGATGTTCTCAAGAGATAGTACATAGTTTCATTATTCCAACTCTTTAAGATCGTGAAGTGTTCCTTGTTTTAAGCTTGGCCCCAAAAAGACATTGCAGTCCCGCATTTTGGACTGATTGTGCTCATGCTGTTGAACGAAACGTTTCCTGGGAGGTTGATTGGACGTCGCGGCTCGATCACTTAGATCTCTGGACCTAATGCCATTGAATTTTAACTATAGAGTGATATGAAGTTCAAGGTTTATGCGACAAGCCCAGAAATTTCCAAGATTTAGAACAACGCCTCAGGGATGTTTCCATTCATCAGGTCACTCATGCAATCTTAGCTGTTGAAAGGTGGTGGGAGATCTGCGTTGGAAATGAAGGCACGCATATTTAAGTTCTTTACTGATCCTGGAGGCATTTACATGCAACAAAGTAGTCCATCTGATATACCTCTCCATGGTATAAATTCAACTTCAAAATATTTTGTGTTGAAATAATGGAGGTGCAAAATCCATCAGTATTGCCGTGGTCACCCTCTACTTCGTCTGCTCTGCTTATGGAAGGAAAATATTGATAATGCAATACAGAAATCGTGCACAATTTTTTAAAACTTTCTTTCGGAATTCCCGATAAAGGCCAAGGAACGGGAAAGCTAGACTGAAGAAAGAAGGCTCATATGGAGAAGTACGATAGTCTCACGAGATTTGCTGTTCACCTCAAAGTACATGGCCTCGTCTCTCGAAATCAGATAACAGTCTTGAAATAGATGCTACCGGATGTGAATGATGACTCCAACCTCTAAGTTTCTCCTGAACAACAACATATCTCTATTTTCCAGTCGTCGACTCATACATTTTTACCGAGTTCCACGTTACCCACTATTGAAAATTTCAGTTCACCGTCATCTGGGACGTACATGGGAGATTGGCGCCATGGTTCACATGGCGATGAAAAAGGGTTACTTTCGACTTTCCTTTTATGCAAAATTTTTTGCCCTGAATCAATGTTTAAGACAGTGACGGGAGAAAAAAATAGCTTGTTACATTGCTCGTCAGCAAATAACAATTTGTCGAGGATAATTTTCTGCAGAATTGGGAAAGGACAGCGAAGGATCCCAGCCCAGAAAAGTTGTCAGGCAGCCTGCTTCATCAGGGTTCAGTTATCAGGTCGTAAATCTGACTGAACAAACTCTATCCAGAATTGTTTGTGCCGTCAGGTGCAACGGCTGCAGATCTAAGAAATAAAGGCAGTACCTAATGTCCCATAAGCAATCCCGGGTTAAGTCCATCTGTCAGTGTCACAGTTTAACGATCGATTAGCTCGACCAGCCTCACGACTGAAATGCATGGTAGACTCTCCTTTAGGCTTCCTTAAGCTTTACCCCAATTCTGCATGCTATTTACGAGGTACAATAACTTGGCTTTCCGATTTTGGCCTCTGTTCTGTGTTTCTGAGCTCGGGAGCTGGGCATTTTCTGCTGCCCTTGGATGTTTTCAGCCAGTATCGGCACCAAAAGTAACTTCTTTTACTCTATCTGCGAGCCTTGGTTGGGGGCAGTTTACTGCACAGCCAGGTAATGGTCTATTTAGCCAACATATTTGTTTTTAATCTTAGGCTCTTTAAATAAACAAATAAATATATATATAAAGACACTGCGTTTTTTTAATTCAGGAAAGCGCGATTACCATGCGCTGTATTTAAACGATACTTTCAGACAGATGAACTTGACTAAAATTGCTCAATTTCCATTTCAGATCCTTGATGCGTGAAGAATATCAAGTCGTCTGGTATGTCTAACGCGAAGCGACATACCATCATGCTATGTACCGCCTCTATTGTTAAATGTATGCAGCCTCATTAGGGAGTGTAAACAGGATGCCGTTGGCGCAAGGAAGTTCTTTCATTGTATATTTTAATCACTTGAGAGCCCTTGGTGCATATGGAGGAGCGTTGGGGAAATCTCGTCGAGAGAAGATGAATGATGGCATGTAGGCGTTCGAGGAGACAAGGTGGGTTACGTGAACCCTGCAGATAATACAAAATACATTGAGACACTGGCAGGAAGGAAGAAGGGCAAAGAAATGGATTGGGTCGCTGTCTTCCTAGTCTCTATTGATCCCCCAGTTCGTTTAAAAATTAATCCTCCCTCCCTCTCTTATTTGGGCTCCAAAGGCATTCCTGGGCCCATCCATGTATCCTGGGACATCTCCTACCTCAGCATAGAGCCCAACACAGGGACATTCCATCACTAGCCGTTGGCTAGTAAACTGACTTTACTCGCCACCTATGTACCTTGGTAGCCACATTGTCCATCCCCCACTCCCCTTCAAAGACTACGACTTTCTTCCTCTACAACGTGCACATCTTCATCCTCGAATTGATTGGTAGCGTGTACAGCACTTGGAACAAAAGGCACCTTCCGCCGAACCTGCAGCCATTCCCTCTCTATTATGCTCGTAAGATTACACTTCTAGTCGTAGATCAATATGAACAGATTTTGGCAATCCTAACACCCAGAAACATGCACGCAACAGTGTCTTACGGATAGAGGGAAAACGGGGGCGCGGGGGGCGGGGAATTCTGACACCCGCAGCCGCCACTCCGAAATGCTTTCATTCCCGTTTCCGGGGTCCTGATTCCGCCGCTTCCGATCGATACACGGATGGAGTCCAGCTCCCGCCTCGGGAGTCCGCTCTCTCCTGAGGGAGGAGAGCGGCCAAGCGGGGCTCTCAATTATTATGCCTGGGGTAGTGTGAGTCCACTGGGCGATGAAGCAAGGATGAAGGGAAAGGACGGAGAATATGCACTGAGAAAATCTGTGAGTCTATGAGAAGAGAGAGGATGAGTGCGCAACATGTTTAATACCTGTCTGCTTCCAATGTGGATCTTGTTCGCGCACCGCATATTGGCATTGAGCCAATGAACTCTTTGCATCGGCAATTCGGTTTTGGCTTTGTCAAATTTTAGTTACTTTTTTTCTCTTTTAAATCGACATATGATGGGTGGCGGCTGCTTATTTCAGCCTTTCTCTCAGCATCTTGTCCATGATACTTTCAGTCTGATGGTGAACGGTTGCCAGTTCCGTCGATCGTGTCAGCTCACCTGAGAATGACGATGGCACCGTCGAAGACGTTGAATCCATCCGACAAGTAACCAAAGATACCGAAGGCGATGAGCTTCAGGAGCATTTCCAAGGCAAAGATGCAGGAAAATACGAGATTACTCATCTCCACCGCAACTGTCAGCTCCTTGGGCTGTGCAAGAAAGAAGACAACAATGAATCCTGTCGTGAGCGCAAGAACACGGAAAAATCTACACCATTACGAACTCGTAGCTCTGATCCTAGCTGAGGTTCAAACGGAAAAGCAGCGAAAGAAACATGGGATAGCATCCCATCCACTAAATGTTTTTCTCTCCAACCTTTCCCCATCAATTTCCCTTTAAATTTTAAATCCCTTTAAACTTCCAGGGACGGAAACTTCTCTTCTCTCGCTTCATTGATTCCGTGTAAAATCTACAGGAGAAGGATGGGACAGAGAATGATGAGATAGGTCAAGCCTCGCGTATTGATCGTAATGGAAGACTATTTTTTGAGCCGATATGCCTCTGTGCTTTAGCTGGTTATTCCAGAGAGTATGCTTAAGAGGAAGTGTATCTGTCTGGTGCGATTGAAAATCCCGTTGTAAGTAGGTTTTTCGGAAAGTTCGTATGATGAACTACCTCCTCCTGCCCCAGGGACACGAAATTCGACAGAGATGTGGTTCACTTTGCAAATAAGTTATCGATTAAATTTCATAATTGGAACCCCATGCTGTGAAAATTGACACCTGGCTGTGGTTGCATCCCAAAAAGATATGGGCAGAAGTTCAAAATGGCACTTCTACGAACTCCTGCGTAAAAACATTCACACCCCGCAGCTTCTTCTTTCCCAAGAGAAGCTGCACAATGCTCTTCCCAGCAGTTCATCGACTCCCAACGAATATTAGGAAGAACTTCTCTGCTGTACCAATGCTTCAGTCATTAGCAGTTGGGTGGGGCTGGGGGAGCATCTTGAAAGTTCAACCATGTTTACATCTACATTCATGGATGGTTGGAATGCAACAGGTTCGATTTCCCAAAGCGTCATCCATGAAATCAAGACATTGCTGTGCTAGCCCTGACTCTTTCCAATAGAATTGGGAAGTAGGAGTGAAGTTTTTTTTCAACTCAACGCTTGAAAAGAAAATTAAATTATGAGAATGAGTCAAGGTCATCTGATGCTAAATTCTAAATAAGTGCATGGACAAAGCTGAAATTTTATAATCAACACATTAGCAAATGAGACCAAGCCCCTGTAGAATTTCGCAGATCTGAGATGAACGGAGGTGAATCATATGAACTTTCTGAGCAGCCCTCATAGCTAAAGGACACTCCACCATCATGCTCGATTTAGCCAAGCTTACGATCGACTTTCCCTTTCGCTTTCAACGCAGCTTCTCTGCGCTTCGGGTGATGAGTGGGATCCATGCTTTCCGTCATCCCGTCCTACTCATTTTGAGTCTCCTTTATTTTTTTTTGGCCTTGTTTGCTTTATTTTTGCTTTCCCTGTCGATGCAGAAACATGATCCTCATCCTGTCGCTCCCTATGACCTTGAGTCTCTCTCCATCTCGGAAGGGTTTTCACTCTCTTCCAGGCCCGCCCCACGAAAGGGGGTGGAAAGGCAACTGGAACCCTCGAAATCGAAATTCCTGTTTCCCATTCTAATTGTAATTTAGCGACGAACTATGCTACAGGATGAGAAAAAACTAGGCTCGACTGGTTATTGACTCTATGGGCTTCTCACGCAGTCATCTATAGGGAGTGCACTGGGCTTACACAGAGTATAGAACATCGTATACTCAGTATTGAGTAGAGACATATTGAGTACAGAGCAACGTATACTCAGTACAGAACGACAAAATCCTTTCGTACATAATGGAAAAAAGAATCGTGTGAGATTACGCCCACAAAATCAAGAAAACAAGACCTTGGAGTGTTTTATGTGGCTCTCCGCCAGAGAAAGGTCTAAGTTTTACATAACTTGCAGATAAATTTACTCGATATTTGAAAGAGAAAATGTATCCTTTCATAAGGCATTCAAAAGCATTTTGATATACTTGCAAGGCGATTCTTACTCGGGTCCACATGTTCTCGTTCACTTCTTATCGAGTGCGAACGAAAAAGAAGTAGAAACGGTCTCAATTCAAATCTGACTTGAGGGTATCTATCACCTTCATCCTAGCACGTAATCGAGGTCCATAGTCAGGAATACGTCTAAAATTGAAGGCGGCCAGAAGAGAAGAGAACGACGTTCATTCGAGAATAACTGTCCATAAACATGAAGGCTGTAAATGTTGATCCCAGAAAAATAGAAATATACACTATATTGACAAAAGTATTCGGACAAGCCTCCCTCCGCCGATAACAGCTTGTCCCGGATGTCATGTGGTAGAGGGCATTACTGTAGCCCAAAAGTATATAACGGTTGACTGCAATCTGCTACAGTCGGTGTTTGCCAGTATGGTGCGTGGATTGGAGCTGACGTAGCTTGAACATGGAATGATAGTTGCTTGTCATACCATCCCAATACTTTTGGCAACGTAGTGTATGCCCTTCTATCGTCTCTCGTGAAACTATGCCGATTTCACATTTTCCATGACCAGATTTTTTTTTGGAGTTATTAACAAATCCTGGAAATCAGTTTGCTGCTGGTGTTTTTTCTTTGGAAAGTCCCGTGGAATTGCTTATGGCTGATTTTTTGAATGCAGAGAAAGAGGAACAAATGAACATTATAACGTGAAATGCAAACATAAATTCTTTCATATGATCCCCCATGTCATCATTACTTTTTACCAGTGGCGGCTCGCGATATTTAGCGGCTAGTGGTTCGTCTATGGAGAGGGGGTAGGCAGAGGAGGTCGCTGCCTACCCCCTCTCCATAGACGAACCACTAGCGCTAAATATCACCAGCCGCCACTGCTTTTTACTTTGAATTACTGCAAACTCAGATTATCATCGTCACAAGGGTAAATTGAGTAAGAATCGCAACTCGGGGATGTAACAGTATGCTTTTGAATGCTTCACGCAAATGTACCTTTCTAGAGCTTAAATTATCAAGTAAATCCATCTACAGATGATGTATGCCTTCACATACGATTCTACGTGCCAGGGTCTTGTTTAACACTTTCGCTCCGGAGGGTTGGTGATTGAGGTTATTTTGAGGTCTTCCAAAAAATTCATAACTTTGGAATACAAAATGATAGACACTTGCTCTTTTTTGGAATTTGGAGTACAAGTTCTCTATTTTATTGTGTTAAATTATTTCAATATCCGAAAAAATTTTAAGGGCGTTCAATTACGTCCACTATTGTCCGAGGGTAGTTAGGACTGGACGTACAGTTACGCCCGCCGGATTGAGAGTGTTAATTTTCTTCTTTGGCATGAGGGGCATAGCTCCATCGATTACTACTCTGGTTTTGACAACATATTGGCTTACTGATTTCTTTCTTTTTTTCGGTAAACCATCCACAAGCATACCATACACAATGCTACCATAGCACAAGAGAACACCATAAAAAATAATTTTCAAGTTACGGCAGAGTGTAACGGTAAACTGCTTCTCGGTTCAAGTCGGTCGAAATCGGAAAAGTCTTTGCTCAAATGTGCCCAATGGATATTTAAATTATGAGCTCTTTACCTTATTTTTTGTACTATAGTATGCCAGTAAGACTTAAATAAAATCTTCCGTATGCACACGTTCGACCTGGGGATCCACCGATACCTTTTTTGCTTGAATCAAGTCAGTAATTTCATGCCAATAATTAATGTTCTACATTGTGTCTCAAAAAAAGGCAGGCCACTTTATTATTTTTTTAAGTATCCCATCCTATTTTCATGTGTGTCTCACATTTCTTCAGCACATTACATATTTGATGAATAAGAAAGATTTCTGCCAACTTTAGTAAAACCTTAACCAGTGCTTCAAATCCAATAACTTTTCAAAATGAAAGTATGAGAAGTTGCAGTGAACAACCAATTTCCCACTGCTTCTCGCCAGGTACATCCTGATGAGTGCAGGCCACAGGCAGTCTCTGTGAAGAAACTGCTTTTTCATTCTTCTTACCTTATGTTACACAGTTATTTTGGGTTCGGATTGCATTCTTTTACATTATCATGATCATTTTCTGTAGGCCTAAGGCCTAACTCTCCATTCTTACAGTTTTTGTCATGTCATGAATCACTGTACTCAAAATTACGAGGAAAATCATGCGATGAGTGAAGAGGGCAAGCACCTGATCAAAGCCTTGCGAGATATGAAGTGGTAAAGCTCTCGTGAATAAATTCCTTGGGGGAAAAGGTCACATCGTGGTCTGGATGAGTTGGTAAAAAAAATTGCTGTAACTGTATCGATTGGAGGAAAACGTGGAAGCAGCAGGCAGTGTAGAACCCATACTGCAGAAAATATCGAGGCGCAGAAAGAATTGGTCCTCAGTCAAAAAGGGATCAAATTCGAAACTTATAGATCAATGAACATGGTAAAAATAATTTATAAACACCAATTTCGTCGATGAAATTGCCTGCCGCCTATGCTGTCACTGGAGAGTGCCAAAGTGATACACCTGGCTAGAAGCAGAGAGAGGATTGCTCGTTCACTGTTATTTTTAATGCTTCAACTTTGAAAAGCTATTGCATTTGGTGCACTGAGTGAGATTTTTTTGCACATGGCAGAATTCTTTTTTATTCACCTAAAATAGCATGTGCATAAAAGCAACAGTGCCCCCCCCCCCTCACTTTATTTTATTTTTTTACAGACACAGTATAGGTCGATCTGCATGTTCAGGACAATAAGTACTTTTCAGTTCTTTCAATGCTAGATCAGAGCCTGAGACTTCTAAAACGTACACCTCCAGGGCATGACGAGCCCATCGAAACCTGATCTGTGTTAATCTATCCAGTTTTAATCTATTCAGTTTTAATCCGCCATAATTTATTCATTTGTTTCGACAGGAACTTCGTCTGGGTATTACAAGCAATAAAAAATAACTCAATAAACTAGAAGATTGCACTTATTCTCATGGGATGAAGATTTCTGGTAGAAAAAAAAAGATCTGATTGAATTTTAAGGAAGATGAATGGGGGAGACTGGCCTGTTCATGATATTCCACTCCCATGCTCAGGGTATTGATCAAGATGGCGAACAAGATGCTACGATTGAAGTATGGATGTTCCACGACCATCTTCACATATTTCCGGAATGTCGTCCAACACCGACTGAACACGCGGAACCGAGATGGACGTTTCTTCGAAGGCCATTCACGTTCCGACACGTCATCAGCGTCATCGTATTCCCCACTGCTCCATTCCTCGGAATCATCTGATTCGGGATGGACGGGGAAAAAGGCTAGAGTTGGAGCGGAGAAATGTCGCTGCCCGGGGCCACGGGCCAGCCCGGCATACACACTCATGGGCAGGCTCCCCGCCCCCGCCGGCAATGCAGCCATCGCGCCTGTCAATGCTATCAATTCACGACACGTCATCTTCCCGATTGAACTGCTTCGGGATGTATTTGAACCTTTGGAAGACACTCCTGAAGGTTGTTGCTGACGTTGTTTTGGCTGCTGTTGTTGTTGTGGAGGCTTCGATGGTTCGTATTCGACCACGTTCTCGGGTTCTTCTATCACGCTTTCATGGGATAAGTGGGCACTGCTGACGGTCCGATGACCCTCGCTGTGCAGAGTGACCATATCACAGAACATGACACTGCTCCGACGTCGCCCGCTGTGCGGTGAAGGGCTGTTGACCGACGGGACGCGGACGAGGATCGGCCTCCGCGGACTGGCCAGCAGGTCAATGTCGGAAACTTCGGGGCTGGCCCGCGGTGCCCCCAGCGGGAGATCACACAACCCTGTCAATGCTGCTCCCTCTTCTTCCTCCTCCTCCTCCCGCGGTTTCCCTTTTTGTCCCGCAGGTCTTCTCCTAGCCCGCTTGCGATGCAAGGCGATCCCGCGGTTCTCTCGGTTCCGACGCCACCGCTTGTATTTCCGCCAGAAACGGCGTTTCGTCCGTCGATAAAGATGGGCGATGTATTTGAGGATCTGAGTGTAACACGAGGCGGATTCGGAGAAGGAACCAGATGCCAGAGTGCTCGTGGAATGGAATCGGGCTCTCTCCAATTTCATCTTCTCCATCTCCCGCTTCTTAGTCTCGGAGAATTGGGTCGCGATCACGACCAGGCAGAGGTTGAGCATGAAAAAGGACCCAATCTATCGTGGACATCCGAAACATTTACCACACTACCTGATGGATTCTAGAGGATAAATCATGTACGCAAACTCACCACTATGAGAAGGACAAAATAGATCCAGACCCAGAACGAATGGGCATCTTGGACGTAGTACATTATGTCGGTCCAAGCCTCCAAAGAGATTACCTGTGAAAACAACGGAAGAGAGAGTGAAGCAGATGTGTCACGGCCCGGGACACCTTGTTCCTGGTCACCAGGTACGCAGCGCAAAGGTGATAAAATGGAGCAAATACTCAAGGAGAGGGCATTCAGAGGATTTCGTGTTTGCTCGAAGATGGAAAGTCGTTAATCTTTACCTGGGAGGAAAAAGAGCTCCAGATCCCGGGAAGAGAGCCCTTAATGGAATATGATCGATTTTCGTCGTCCTTTCTATCTCTTCGGGGCATGAATTATTCCCGGTCAAAGCACACAATCAGAGACCTCATGCTTGAATAGCATCAGGGAAAATGGCGTTTCACGGAACTCTATGCTGGAAGTCATCAACATTGCATGGCAACTTTCTTTGCCTGCAACGTCAAGTTCGAGGCAGTGATCTTCAAATTGATCTTAGTTCGAGCAGTGGGAAGCGCTCTTTCCTCGAGCTCGGATGGAAGAGAGCATTGTCGCGTGCAGATTTTCCGAGTGGACCAATGAAAACCAACTTGTCTGCCATTCTAGAGGCCAAAAATCACGCGAGGGACGAGCGGAAGTGGGGTTGTTTTCGTCTTTCCGTGACTGGACCTTGTGACACGAAAAGGCTTTTCACGGACTTGCATCTCCCTCATTACCCAGACCTTGAATATCGGAGTTGCGTTTATGGAGAGACGTTGACAAATGCCATGAACGGTGTCTCGTGAGAGGGAAGTTTAGAAGCAAAGCTCCTTTTCGTCTTATCAGCTGGAATAATACTGAGTGACTCACCAGAAAGATGGCGACCCAAGCAAGTCCGATGTTATCGAATGAGATGGCCCCCTGGAAAGGATTCTTCGCTCCGGGTCGACAATCCGTGTAGTAATAATTGAAATTGACACAGCTGGAGCATTCGTCCAGCGTGGCATTGCATTCCGTTCCGTTCGACGATCGGTATAAGGGAAGGTGGTCGCAGGTGTGCATCCCGCTGTATTTCGGCGTGGAACAGATGTAATCTTTCTCGATGAAATCTCGCATCCCTCGGTAGTAATACGTCGGAATGGGCCTGCAGGATTACTCATTATCAATTACACCGAATATTGTACATTCAGAACACAGTGTTGACCTGGTAAATAGAGACACCGAGGACATGAAACATGCACCATCACATAGAAAATATGCATTAGAAATGTATTTGGCATATATTTGTATCCACGTAATTGGAGGGCAAAAGTAACAAAGATATTTTCCACCTGTAACTCCTTTCTCCGCTTCTGATATGATACGTGCAAAGTAAGGAGACTGGTAAGGAGACAAGTAAGAAGTTGTACGGAGTAAGTAAGAAGACGGAAGAGCTCGTATTCCTATTCCCGAGAAACCACATGCATTAGGCCAGGGGTGTCAAACATACGGCCCGCCGTCTGTTTCTGAAATTTTCCCCTTTGATTGAGTGTCAGCACAAATTTCAGTGAAATATTATGGGTGCGGCCCACAGGCATCTGCAGGGTAAGGAATGCGACCCGGCAACCGGTTTGAGTTTGACACCCCTGCATTAGGCTTTGCCATGGACAAACGCGGAAAGCTTTTGAATTTGTTTTCAGCAGTGGTGATCTAGATCCTTGAAATACAGTATGTTTCGGAATAGAAAGATATTTTCGCAGCACGACCCTCCATCCGCGTCTCCTCTCCTGTCCTATTACCTGAAAAAACTTCTACAGTCTCTTTGCAGCACTAGGCTGAAAACCAAGTTGAAGCGCTTGTAATGCTCGCCAAAAGGGGTTAAGATGGGCAGCAATGTTTGGGCCGAGTACGCAATGACAAATACTAACAATGGATGGTAATCACTGGCATCAAAGAATTTTCGAGATATCCCTTGTCAGATCATAAGAAAGAAGGTGCAGCGGTATGGAAGGACATCAGGCATGTACGAAGTATGCCATAAAACTAATGCCACTCGTTAAACTCTTTTATCCTCACACTTGTAAATACGACATAACATCCATTGAGTATACTGTAGGTTGATATTTTCCTTCCCGGATTTGCGAATTTCCATCCACATTTGTCTCCTTGAAGCAAACTATGAGCAATAATTTGAAAGAACTTGAAATTTGAACATAGATAGGAGCTCTTGCTGCGAGAGAGGGAAGAGGAGGAAACGCCTCGGAACTGAATGCATTCAACCGAATGCAGCAAACAATTTGAAACACATAACGTTGGATCAACGTTGAATCAATTTTGAATAAACGTTTGGAATGTTGATACGACGTTGGTCCAACGTAGCCTTGCTTGCTGGGTATTTAGGAGATCACATCGAGTGTAGCTTCCATAACGACTCATTCCTTGACTTGCCTTTGTGGATATTGTTTAGATTATAATTAATGCAGAGGTTCTCTTGGGTTTCTCCACATTTTTGTCTCATTTCCTATGAAGGAAGAACAGACTCTATAAAGCCGTTCTGTAGTGGCTGGAACTGGTTCATTTTCGATTCCAGATTTTTTTTTTTTGCAAATAGCCTCACTTCGACAGAAGGAATTTGGATCGCATTTTGCCTGTCTGTTAAATACCTAACGGCAATGCAACTTTGTTGCTAGTTGCTTCTCCAAGAGTGGTAATATAAGGGTTCAAACTCGAGAGTCTGAGATTTTGCCGTTTATCTGTGCTGAGGTCAACAGTCTCACATTCCATTATTTCTCTGGAGGATTCGCATTAAAAGAAAAGTTTGCGCATCACCTACGCAAAAGAAATTCTTTCCCATGACCCCCCTACAGTAATTTTGAGGATCAACATTTCTTGGAATCGTATGAAGAAGGAATCGTAAGAAGGTAAGGCACAGAAGGTACAGTCGGAGCAAGATATGAACCGACAAAAAAACCAGGAGATTTTCCAATGCGTTTCACTGAGTGAGCATTCTCCTATTAGCTTAATGTTACTTGGAATTACCACTCACAGGAAGTAAAGGGCGTCCATACTTTCTCTATTAAGAAAGCGTGCTCGTTTGGGTGCAATTGAAGATGCATTAACCCTGGGGAGATCCCTTCTGATACAGAAGCAGAGAGATATCGAAAGCTGCTCAGCATCGGTGAGATGAAGTCAGTCGATTCCCTTGGGTTCCTCTGTTAACTTCCAGAATTTCTCTTCATAAATGAACTTCCAGGAATTGGAGCGTAGAAAGGTTTTAGCTTCCTTCTATCACTGCTTTGGGTCATGTCTTTATAAGGAAGAAAGAAGATTCCTATGTTGGGTGCTTTGGCAACCTTCTGTTGCTAACTGTAACAACATTGTACGTGGATACCCAGTGCTACGAAACTCAAAGTTTTTTTGCATTAGAAGCAATAAAGTAATCGGTTCCGATATGTTTCCCCCATTCGCCCCTCTTTAGCTCTTTTCGAATAATTGATTAATTGCAATTACTAAATTTCACCGGATATTCAAAAAGAACTCTTCGTAATAGTTTTTTTCCTAAAACTATTTAAAATAGAAACATGAAGTCTCGTAGAACGAGTATTTAAACAGAAATAGAAATATGTTTTCAAAAATATTTACTTCTTCTACGAATAGAATTAATCGAGTAAGCCCAACTATGCTAAGGGAACACGTATCTAATTGAATGAGGATACGTTAAGCACTCCATTGGGGCTCTTTAATTTCCGTCCGTGTACCATGAAAGACTGCGACAGGTGGAAAAGAGTCAAGTTGCTTTTGCCGACCATTGAATTAGGATTTTGTTAGATGAGCCTGAAAATTTTTTTGCTGCCATCATGCATGCATCGCTCTCAGAAGTTCATTTAAGGGACTTTCCTTTCAAGGACCAAAGTGACTGAACCGTGTGACATGCAAAACGTTTTTCGAAAATGCCTTCTTTCACAGACATAGTGGCAGACAGAAGTCCAGAGACATTCACTCCATCGATTCAAGAGACGATGCATGAGATGAATGAGGGCTCTGATAGTGATTATGGGCCATCCATCTTGGCCAGAAGCACCCTCTTGTCTCCATACACGTCTATTATACAAAGAAAGCACTTCCCTTCACTCGATATCGCCCTTTCTTTCCCATAGTATACTACCAATTCGGTAACTCCGATTGACACGGAACATTGAAAACTAGAGAAGCTCTACGAGAGGATCATCGGGTCTCTCCCTCTCTTGAGGAAATAAGTGAGAGGGTTGGATTTACCCAAAACGTGTAAGATTTCTAGAGAACGAGAGAGGAGGTAAGCAATTAGGAAATGAGAATCGATCCATGCACCTCCTGTAATGGACTACTCGGTGCTCCCTATTCCAAACAGTATAAATTACTTCTTCCCCTCCTACTCAACCCCGAATATCCGAACTTCTTCGTCGAGAATCCTTGTCCTCTCATCACACACATCTACGACGAACGTTCTCGATGACCGAGCATTGAAGAAACTAGAGACCGAGAAACAGCCGTCGTTCTGAGGTCTATTTCTATATCGACCAAACGTCTGGACCCTCATTGTGTCACCTGGTTTACATAAGGTGTCACTAAAGCAAAAATCATCCATGAGAAGACATGCATTTACCTCATGGTGGCCTAATTGAGTTTTCCCGTTCCACGTGTCGATATCTTATACTTCGTCTCCTGACATTTTAGCTCGAAACATCAAAAGTGCCATTCCACGTTGATAGAGACTACGAAATGTTTGTTTCTGTGTGCGTAAAACATCTTATGCGTGCAGCAAAGGAAATAAACAGCGTCATGCAAGGAACATTCAGAGCCCCGTCTTTTCTAACTTAGTGGGCCGGGAAACAATGCATGACATCTACGGCCATTTTTCCTCTACCTGTAAAACGATGGTGGCGAAGTAATCCTTTGCCCCCATGGCCTGAAACGAAGCAATAGGGGGTAAGTGCCTACATCTATATCGCGTGCATGGGACGTGCCTAGTGCGGTTAGTGTAAACGTGTTAACTGTTACTGACAAGTTAGATCACCCGTTCCTATGGATCACGGAATCATTAGATGGAAAGAAACGGGAAATAAGACCTTTGCCAGGTCACCCTGATCCTCAACTTGTAGTAAGGCGACACTGATCTGAAATATGGCAAGGAAATACAGAAACTACACTGGAATACCGTATATGAAATATGGCAAGGATATACAGAAACTACATTGGAATACCGTATAGACGGGACTAGTCGAATGAGAAATTTTTAGTCTTAGATATTATGGCGTGAAGACTACGAATCTCCTTCATTGTGCGTCAGGGGATTTATATGAAAAATTATGGAGGGACTGACTCGGCATCGAAGCGGGAAGAGCAGTTGATGTTGGGATTCCAGTTGAAGTTTTGGGGGATGAAGCATCGTTGTCTGAGAATCCCCTTCCACAACTGGACTCCAACGATGCCGAAAATGAAGAAGACGAAGAAGCAGAGGAGCAAGACGTTCCCCAACATGGGGAGAGTGTCCAACAACAACATGACCAAGATCCTCATGCCTGGATTTCAAGAGACACGACAAAGTGATCACCAAAAAGCAAAGTATTCTGACGTACTGGAGCAGTCCCCCGGCGACGAAGGGTTCAAAGATGACGCTGCTTGCGTCGAGTACAGCGTCATCCTTAGCAGACGCCACTCGCAAGTCGAAGTCCGGGTCGAAAGTCCACTTACTTGGGATTCTGTTGATGGCCCGAAGAGGTCTGAGGACCCGGATCGTCCTTATTGCAGACAGGTTCATGTTCTCCACGTTTAAGCAGTACTCCAAAGCACTGATAGGAAGTATTTTTCTTTAATTTTGCAATTCGATAATGATAATGTATTAGAGGGTTTCTTAAGTACCCGGCTACAACGATGAAACAGTCGAGCCGGTTCCAGGAATCGGCGAGATACGTTCCTCGACCCCACATCCCCATGGCGATCATTTTGATCACCATCTCCACGGCGAAGAACACGAAAATCAAATGGTCCACGATCTGTTTGAACGAAAGATTCTATTTTGGAGTTCTCAGGTGTTAATTAGTGCTTCCTAAGCAGTTGAACGTGCTAAATTACATCTGCCAGATTTTTCTGATCCGAACTTTGACCAAATGTAAATGCAATTATCAATGCAATTGTATGCGAATTCCCAATAACAGATATGAGTGAGGCGTAACATACTACGATAATGCTACAACAGCCGAGTGTCTCATTTTATTTCGCGTCTTTGTTTTTAAGAGCAAGCTCCAGAATGAAGGGCGAAAAATTCTGCTTCCATTCCTACAGTAACTGTCAGTGGCGGATACAGAAATTGTTCGTAGGGAGAGGGAGGAGGGGAGGGGGAGCGTTTCTTCCATCCCCCCCCCCCCCGGATCCGCCACTGCTCATATTAAAAATGATTTTAATGGAACTTGCGAGCCAATCTGAATAGCCGGCTGACTAGTTTCTCTAGGGTCCTAAGCAAAGAGATATTCTACAACCATTAGAAATTCGTGACCAAAAATAATTTCTTCAAAGTGTGGAAAAAGGACCTTTTTCTTAACCATTGCATTCATTTGATTATCTTTTTCAGATCCGATGGCATATTGAATTCATATTTATTTTATAGATCAGTGATACACAATTCACGGATCCAAAGAAACATTTTGCAGCTCCCTGGATGCCTCCAATCTTAAAAAAGCAAGACATTCACACTTACGATTTGAAATAAGAATGGTAACATGAAATATAAGTACTTCGGCACCTCCCCCGCAGCTGGTTTTGAGCTGTCGCCTACTTCTAAAGTATCATTTCATGCAAGGAGTGAGTTATTTTCAGCGTGACCCTGAACGCAACCAGTCAGCCCGCATTTTCGTGCCTCGCATTAATAAATGGATACGGCAGATACGGCCTTCTGTAGTCTCTGCGGTCCTCAAAATTGAGTCGAACTCCACTTTGACCTTTTGTAGAATAAAGCTTCTCGATCTCGACGAATCTATTAATCCTGCAAGAGGGATGATATGAAGGCAAGCACATAAGTAATATAAGACACCATCGTGTAATTGAACGCTCTGATATTGGAGAAAGAACTGAATCACGGACTGAGACTGACCTGAAGGGATTGACACAGCTGGGACTCGCATTTCTCATCCAGGCAAGGCCGATACATCCCCAACGTCACACAGTTCACGAGGATCACAGTCATACTCACTCTCTCGAACCACGTAGAAATTCCAAACGCAATCGGTCAAGGAGGAATTTATTCAATCATGAATAGGCCTAGCCATCATATGACAGTCGACGAACCTCTTTCATGGACTGTACTGTCCTTTACAAGGCACGCGTTTATTGATCGCAGGAAACCTCTTTGTTATACAGATGTGCAAGTGGCAGTCCGAATCCATAATGAAAACAGAAATGCATGGAGCCGAAACGACGAATGATAATGAACTAGGAGGGTTATTGTGCAATGAAGGCTGGCAGCATAAAGGTGCTAATAGGAACCAGATGACAAAGACACGAGGAAGACCAGAAGGTCTTGATCGGAACTAGGCGAGTCCGATTTCTCTACGTCGGATCACTTTCACACAGAATAAGCAGGCAGCAAGGAGGTCTTCCATGCTATTGGGATCCTGAGAAAACGACAGGAACGCATTGGACGAGTGTGAGAGTTGCAAGAAAAGAACCAGTCGAGAATTGACAGATGTTCAGCGTCACTAATGAGTTAGGATGCCTGGGCTTTCGGAGCGGAATGTGGGGGGACATTAATTTTCGCCTGACTAATTCGTAAAATGAAACGGGACGGGGGATTCGAGTCAGAAGTTGCATTCCCATCGGGTATTCCCATCGATGAAGATTGCACAACTAGCAGACAAAGGAAGTTAGGAGCAGAAGCTCTTTTGGGAACTGTCCTGATTGGGCATTATGAGACAGGGAGGCATGCAAACTCGGACGACTGCTGCTTAGAAAGCCATGTGAAGTTCTAATAATGACCGCAAGCGCCAAGATCGTCAGGATGGGGGGTTATATACACAAAAGGGGGGATAGGAGGCAGTCAGGTAGACAGGATCCAAACGAGGTCAAAAAGAAGCAGGACAGAGAACAAATAACAAACCTTAGGGAACCTCGCGCATTGATAGGTTGGATAAACATTGAGTACGAAAGTATTTCCCTCTCTGTTTCTATCTTTCTCTTCGATTCCCTACTTTATGTACAGTACAACCCTAAACATTTAAAATACCAACGAAGATATCTGAATGCAACCAATGACAATAAATGAATGTACTGGTGTGCTTTCAAGCACTAGAGCAGTCCAAAATCTATAAATTTCCTGCAATGTTTTACAGGTGAGTAGAAGAAATGAAGGAACAGGTGTGCAGCGTCACTAGCGATATTCTCTCACTATTTCAGAGGTTGGGTTATGTCGCCACTAAATCCGTTTAGGCTCTCTCGTTTATTGTTGCCTGTTCTTGCCACAAGCTGCTCTTTTCAATTCCTGTCCTATGATTTTCCAATACTCCGAAGTGACCATGCCATGCCTCTAAATGCTTCAACTCGTCTTTCCTGATTCCTGAGATGAAAAATTCTCGAGTGAAAAGGTTATTTTGGGCTGTCATCATCTTTTGAAGATTATAATCATGATTTAACCCTTATCCAGGCAATGTTTTTTTTTTAGACAAAAACGAGCAAAACAATAACTGGGGTCCATTGGATCCCCTTGTTCTTTTTTTTTTAAGCATATAAAAACGTTAAAAATTCGTTTGTGGATCGATGCATAACTGTCAATGTAATACACATGTCTAATTTGTAGACGATTTTTGACAAAATTATCGGGCAATCCAATGGACCCCCACTGTCCGGATAAGTATTAAGAGAGGACGGTGAGCTCTTTCTTTTAAATAATTCCTTTATCCGATCCTCATTCACTATTTAACGAGATCCTTGTGCGGCAGCAATCGTATTTTTGTGGAAATCATCTCTTTAAGCATGATTACGACATGATGATGTAGATGCTCTGATTGTTTCACATCCGACTGACATCTCACATCTCACGTACTGATGTCTAAATGTAGCAAAATTAATCCTGAGTTCTACTTACAGAGAATTGCTCAATCAGTGATCATTTCAGGGGATTGAGGTGCCTCGAGGGGGGAAAAATTGTATTATATTTCTTTTCTTATATAACCATGGCTAATGAGCATGGCATCAAGGAGAGAAGGGTGCTAATGCTCAAAAAAAAAAAAAAAAAAGCAATGAACGGGGATGAAACATAATGAGGAAAAATTGAGCAGAGGAGAAAGACATAAAGATGGTTATCACAGGATATAGACTTTAAAATGGAAATCACAACTTCAGTCGTTTCATTTTTTCTATCATTAATTTTCAAATTTGTTTCCTGGTAAAGATAGACCTGTGTCGGTGCTGTGCCTGGGAATTAGACACGGCATTCCATCCATGAAGGGCTCCTTGTCCTTGACGCCGTTAAAAGTCGGCGAGACACTCACCACAGGGTGTTCAAATTTTCAATGCAGGTTAGGGCGTATCTAGCCTCTTACTCGATGAGCCAGGCTTGTGCAACAAAGCTGCATAGTTTGCAGCTTTAAGGATGCGCTCAATCACATAATAAATTTAGGAGAAAGGGCACAACCGAGCCTCAACCAGTTGCCCCGGGGCACTGGTTGAGGCTCGGTGTACCCTTGGTTCATCTAGAAAAAGTTATACGGCTGGCGACCGGATGTTCCCTCGGATGCATTTAGCTACTAACGACCTGTAAATATATCAGCTGATAATGCGAGACTTGTTCCTAAGGAACCTCTTTTAGCTTGTGAACCTTTTTTCGTCGTATCAGAGCATGCCTTTGAGAGAGAGAAGTGGATTACTGGCGAGCTGTATAAGAAAATCGATAGGACTGATGACTCGCAGGATTCCTATGGAGAGGCGCTCACACCTCCTATTTTCAGAATGTAGAAAACGTGGAGTCTCGTGCTTGGCAATCCTCTTTTGTGCAAGATGTTCTTTAAACGTCATTTGTGAGCCAATTCCAACATCTAACGTTTCCACCGTTGGCACTACTCTGCGCTAAGACTCTTCACTGTTGGATACGGAGGAACAGAGGATTACCTTTGTCAAGAGAAGTGAAACGTAATCATCTTGTATTTATTAGTATTCATTCTTGAGCTGATTTTCGGCTGACCAAGTGGTGATGGAATTTCGGTTGCATTGATAGGTAGCCGCTTCCTACTCGTTTCATATAGATGGGAGAGCGGAGTCATCAGTATATTTTATGAGCAGGCAGCGACCTGCGATCACAAGATCGTTTCTATCAGCAGAGGAGGAATGCAATCGCAATGCTTTAAGATATACCTCATATCACGCCTTTAGACAATCTTCCAACCTCATTCTTGCTATTTATCTTGAAGGAGGTTTGCCGTCTAGGCGTAGTTCCGTGATGATAGATTCGAATCGGTTGGTATGATGAAGACTCGAGGAGGCGGACTGCATCAAATGCTGCTCATGAGTCAGCAAAGCCGCATCTCACTATTCTCGGCAGTTCCTCACTGTTTTTGGTAGCAAAGCGAATGCAGGATGTATGAGCATCTCAGTGGAGCGTTCAGGAATGAGTTCATCCACGATTTGAGCAAGGATTCTTGGTAAACCTTAATACACGAAGACCTTCAATTTCCTTGGCTACTTTCTTTCTTGACGCAATATAGAAACTTTCTACTACTGAGAGAAATGCCAAAATTTGAGAGACATGTTGATGATACTAGCCGAAAGAGGTGAAGAGGTGTTGGCTGTTGTGCACACTCTGAAGATACATGATGGAATTTAGTCGGACTTTAGTTCCGCTTACCCTTGAGAGAAGCGATGTCACTTTTGTTTCAGGCACAACAGGAGAGAGTACGAAAGATGTGATCTGGCCTATTCGGTTAACCCTCTTCCCTGCGGCTAAGGGAGTTTCTCACGAGCATCTAATTAAAAAATTCTAGAAGATTTCTGCGGCTTTCAGTGTAGAGACGTTCTTCAGTTCTGGAACAGAGTTGAACGAAGAGAATGCAGAGATTCAGAAGTTCACAAATTCAAGAGTCTGCGGATGATAAGTTAACTCCATCCAGCCGCTCTTTCCTCAATTGCTGTGGATTTCAGGGCTTTCGACTCAAATTCATATATTCCTTGTCCGTCTTGACCAATTTGAAGAACTCTTTAAGCCTCTGTGCCTCGAAATATTACAAAACCCACAAGGCGTGCTTCTGTTTCAGCTATATTTTTGAACATCCTATGATCTAGAGACTACACAGATGACAATGGATCGCACTAACTCTTCCATTGGGATGGTCAAACAATCTCTCTTTATTGAGTTTGCATGACAGTTTTCCAAAGTCTTGGCTGCATTCTGAACAAAAAAATGGGCTTGTTGGTGAGCAACCGATATCCGTGACGTGGTCTGTGGCAGTCATTTTGACTAACTTTATAGTACGATGCACCTGAGAGTCGTTCGCGAGTCGTTCACGCCAGAATGAAAAGTGTTCGTTTGAGTCTCCAGTGGGAAATTTGTATACCTCGTTTCTAATCGTGTTCATACAGCTCCTCTTCTCGTCTCTCATCTTTATAGTGCCGTCGATTATAGTCATAATCCGAACGAGAATAATAAATCATCTGAGGAAGAAAAAAGTTCCCATCATCGTCATCTATCTCCGATAGCGGCTCATTTCACCGGATATGGAATTCATTAAAGAGGGTCTCTCGTCTTTTTCGCCTCGACGCCGGGTGATAATGGTCATGCCCACGACAGAAACGAATGGTGAGGCATTAAATGCCGACTGGATTTCACATACAATCCGTCTGGGAACACTGGCTGGAACGGTTGTTACAGGATTTGGTTCAGGAATGATTCATATCGCAACGCTGCGCATACAGGGGGAATGAATACTTCAATATGACCCATGACGTCATCAGGTTCGATAGCTCTCTCTTTCTCTCGTGGTTACGCCAAGTAATCAAGAGAGCACTACATGTACCTCTATGCCATATGGTAGGAAAAAGACTTGGCTTTTTCATACACCGACGGAAAGATCCGCAGGCCTCTAAGGACTCTGCAGAAAAGCGGATCCAATCTACCAGAGGGAGGATATCATTGAGGATGTCTTCCCTAAATCACTTGGAGTAGTGGTCATAATTCAGAGCCGACGAAATCGGAACACTGCAAGGCTTGTCGATAGAAGAA